TAGCCTAGAGGCTGAAACAACCTCAGGGAACGTGGTTATATAACTTGTCAAATGAAAACCTCATGAAAACCTTTGCAGCTAGTACTGGAGTCACGATTAACTCAAGTTAATATTCAAGAACAGTGTGACATTGTGGTAGTTCAGACTAAAGAGGTTCTCGTCTCGTCTCGTCAACCTTTGGCTCAGCTATGCGTCATCACAGGTTTTGTTATGCAATTCTTCAAGGGAGACTTACACACAGGTTTAGAGAGAAAGATGACCACGATCCTATGAATGTGTTTTTTTGCTGACACTCATTTGCATCTGCTGATTTTCCATTCAAAAGCACTGGCTCAATAAACTTCAGCAGTGAGAGCTACGTGAAAGAGTAAGAAATCCTATGCAAATCGCAGTCTTTTCGTTTTCTCAGGTCTACACTGCACTAATGAATAAACATTACACTATACTAATGAATCAAGTAACACTGCTTGCTTTGCTGAAAACTGATCAACTTATGCTGCATCTGAAGTGGCATACAAAAAAGTTGCATTCACACTGTTTAATGCTGCACAGATGTATTAATGGCTTTATTAGCTTCTCTGGGGTTACCCCTGCCCTTTTCACACAATAACCTTCCTGTTACTATTGTAATTTTGTATTTAAAAAATGATGATGTATGTGTGAAATAAATAAATAAATAAATAAAAGGCAGAAATTATTTTAAACAAAGGTATATTATACATAAAAAAATTTTAAAAAATCATTTTAGCTTTTAAAATAATTTAAAAATATAAAATGAATCGACACAGAGCCTGATCACCTTAGCCTTATAGACTGTGTAAAGGTGCCTTAAAGGTGCAGTAAGCAATTTTTGAGAAGTGCTATTGAAAGTGGATCAGGCCGAGCACCACAACACACTTGTAGCCAATCAGAAGTAGGGGGTGTGTCCACTCGTGATGAGGGAGGAGAGAGAGTGAGCAAGAGGGAGATTTGAAGAAGGACTGTAGAAAGAGAGACGGAAGAAAGAGAAATATCACTGGTAAAAGAAGGGTAATGAGCTTTAGAACCTGTTAATATTAGGAAAAGTTTTTCCGTGTTGGAGAGACCTAAGAGAGAAGGCCTGAAAACGGACGCTGTTTGTTCGCATTCGGCTACAGTAGAAACATGAAGTCACAATATGTCGACCTTCATAGAAGGGGATTACCGCGGTTATGTAGATATAAATGTTTCATTCTAAGGTAATAAAAACATTACGGTTAATTAAGTAAGTTCTTTATACACCACTGAAAACATAGTTATGGATGTCATTTTGCATTTCTGTTAATAGATACTCAAAAATGTTACACATTGCACCTTTAACAGAGCAATTCATGCTCTTTTTACCGCTCGGTAAAGCACATTCAAACACTGCAGTCCTATGTGTACTAGCAATATAACACCAAATATAGAACATTATTCACACAAGCAGTGTTGCCAACTCTCGCAAGACAAATAAGCAACCACATGTTCAAAAAAAAGCCCAATATTATTATATTATTTATTACCATCAATATTATTTGTTATCAATAAATGAGACTGCAACATATTAAACTGAAACCACTTTAAAAAGCAAAAAATCATCAAAAAACAATATCTTAAACACCTTCCAACAAGCGGAAGAGCATGCCCTATCCTCCCATCACCTGTGAGCAGAATAGGTTTTGAGATGGAAAAGGAGAAAAGTAACGTGACATTAGAGCCAGACCGATATATCGGCCGACCGATATTAGGCATTTTCCAAAATATCGGTATCGGCAGTTATAATGGCCGATAAATTAATATTTCAAAAATAAAATAAAAAAGGACGAAACACGCTTCAATCATCTCTCCTTGGCCTGTTATATTGAAAATGTATGTTTTACAATTTGCAGTATGATGTTATCCATTGCTAAATGATGGCTCATCATAGACTCTAACCACAAAGCTAGCTAATACCACTATCATCAGTGGAAGACTGCTAATGTTAACATTAATGAGCTTGGAAACCAACCACAATGAACTTTTTCTGCCTAAATAAAGTAATGATTACTATATTTATAACTAGCATGTCCCTGCATTGTAAAATGTAAGTTAGACTTGCGAGGAGTGAACATTTAGACATTTACATTTAAACATTTAGACATTTACATGAACATTTAGAAAAAGTATCAAACATATCTTGTGCAGAGAAGTTAGCTTTTCTTTTACACGTGTGTGAAATCCAACGACTCCAAGTGTGCGTTGCAGACTGTTGTTCTGTAATGGATTTAGAATCGCTAAATAGTAGGTTTTAGAAGGCAGGCATCAACTGATGATTGAAAATGGTTTGATGTAGCTTGATGGAAAGAATTTAAAAAGTGCAGGTAAATGGATAAGCAAGCTGACATTGTAATTATAAGGTAGCTTATAAGGCAATGTAGGGACTAATTATTATTTTATTTATCAGAACTTTAATAGATTTTGATGTTCCTCATTCTGTTGTGACAATAAAATAAACGAGTTTCTTTTTAAAATGCTTTATCATATTATTTTAGTTAAAACTCATAAATAACTACAAATAACTATGTTAGGGAAATCTGTTAATGCGCGTTTCTGAAAAAAAAAAATCTGCCGATATATCAGAATATCGGATTTTAAAACCCAAAAATATTTGTATCGGTATCGGCCTTCAAAATCCTTTATCGGTCGGGCTCTAAGTGACATGAAGGCCAACTAGTCACCCATACTCAGAATCTGTCCTCTACATCCAAGTAACACACGCTAATCTTGATATCATGTGACCAAAACTTCTTTTAGTCAAAAGTTCACCATTAAATCCCCCACTACAGGACAGGTATAATAATGATGATGGTGACATAATCCAGCCAGGGAGAAGGACAAGTATTTTACACATCAAGGTCAAAAGAGCATGTCACAATCCATCTCAGCTCTTCACTGATCTAAGAGCAGCTTAGTTAAATAAAACAGAACTTATTTCTTATATAAGAGGTGGTCAAACTGGTCAGGGTCAGTCTGTCTATTGGCTGTCTGCAGTCTGAATCCTAGGGAGGAATGTAGCATGCCACTGTGGGAGCAATAAAAAAATGTGCATGGGAGTGAGACCGCCGGTCACGACTGCTGTTCATCATTCAGCTGCTGCTTTGAAAGGCCCCAGAAAGATTAAAATGAAATGAAATGGCGCGGCTTATTGATCTTACAGAGCACTGGGATACAGATAAAACTTGTGTATCAAAAAGAACATGAAGTACAACTTCATCATGTTGCACATGAGTGGCGGCATGCAGTAATCAAATAGGCTATTTTTTATTCAGTTTTGTGTAAAAAATAAAACTTTAGTCAGACAAATGGTGAGTCATAAATAAAGTGAGTCGTAAAATACAATGAATTATTATTATTACTAATACTACACAAACCTTGACCTCTTTCTGCTTTCTATGGACAGTATACACATCGACTGCAGAAATAGTGAGACTGTTATGTTAATATTATTTTCTGAACATATCTCATAAGTTGCTACCAGGCTATTTTGCACAAAAGTGCAAACATCTGATCCAGATTTATGCAATTCAGTACTGCTGCAGAACGCTTTTGCAAACAAGCACCTGGAAAAGGATCTGAACAAGAGACACTGAGCTTCGCAACCACACACACTAGAGGAATATTTCTTCTTCCTCTCATTGTTCTTGGCTGTCATGTGATTTTGTGCCTCCAGGTACAAAGCTTGTCTAAACAACTGTCCAGTCAGGGTTATTTTCAACATGGATCAAAGTTATAATTCTTTTCTCATAACCTTATTTGATCCGGTAAAATATACAGTAGGCAATAGAAATTCAATATATGACTTTTCTCATAACACACACAGTACATTTCAGTAATAGGACCAGATTAATCTGGATATTCACAAATAACATACAGTAAATATGTAGTTATTGTGTACTATACCACTGACATTATAAAAAAATAAATCAATATGATGAGACCTATACATTTTCTGTGTATGCATATAGTCTACCTTAAAGACTTGACTACAAAACTACTGAAAAACAGCCGAAATGCATCTTTTTCCTGTAATCACTGTGAAGTTGCTGAATAAAAAAAAAAGGCTATTTACAATATTCACTGTTATTGCTCAAAGATCAATTATACAGTTCACTGAACATTGATTAACCTTTTGTGCCAATACACTATCCCAGATCTCCCCTACTTGAATGTGTTTATATGTGATTTTTCAATAACGAACACTTGAAAGATTATTAAAAACATGCAAACATGTTTTAAAAACAGCATTAAATGATTTCCAAAATTGTTGTCTGTGGATCGCAGGTCTCTGTGATTTTGCCAACTAATGTTACTGGATCTAGATCCAGTCTGAAAATTTAGTCATATATATAAGGATATATCCTTACCACTAAACCTAACCCAAATCATAACTTATCCTTAAAATTTAAATAAATAACATTGATGTAGAAGCTCCTAACCCTGGTTGTAAGCCTAAACTTGACCCTCAAATCTCATTGGGTGATTATAATGTTGTTCCAGTAACTATTTTTTTTTCTTTGTATGTGAAATCACGTTCACCAGTAGACAAACAGCTAGTCGACTCGACATCAAAATCTCTGAATATTTCTAAGAAACCACTTCCCTGGGATAAAATTACGTCATTATTTTTATTTTATTTTTTACACTCTAAAAAATACTTGAAATGTAAACATAGTCTGTCATGTCATGATTTTGCAAGGAACAAATACAAAAAGATAACATTTGAGTTTATAATGTGTCCTAAATTATTTTAATTGGGCTAATACGTTGCTTAAAGTTTTTTCCTATAATGCATAGCTAAAATATTTCATTTAATTCAACACATTAATATGTCACATATGACGTCTTGCCTACACGAGAGCAGAAGAACACACCGGTGAACTGGTAGCAGGTACAGGTGTATGTCCATCTGACAGGTTCAGACAGGTTACGTCGCAATAAACATTATTTTTTAAATATCTTACCTTTATATGTCTTCTAAGGTGGGGGTATATCTTGTTTTCAGAGAGAGAGAGAGAGAGAGAGAGAGAGGTTGAGTGCACACTGATATTCCTAGAGCCTGTAATATTTCTCTCACTAGATGGAAGTGCAGTCAGTGAATGCCCCAGTACTTTATGGGAATCGTTATCGAAGGCGAGTAAAGTCATACGGCAGCGAGTCTCCGCCTCCTCCTGCACTTTAGAGAAACATCTTTCATGCCATCTACTGGTTTGAAGTGGGTATGGTCAGGGCATCGCTGGATAATCCGTAATTCGTTTGTATTAACCTTTTTGTATTAACTGAGATATATCATACGTGTTGTTCTGGATTTTTTTTTCTTTGCTACCCTGTTGCAATGCCTTTCTTTTGTCTATGTATTATTCTTGCACTACTATTACAATTTTTATTATTTAATTGTTGAACTCTTTTCTTGTTGTAGCCTGTGTTTATAAAGCGTCTTTGAGCTATGGAAATTGCGCTATATAAATGATGAAGCCTACTTCCCACCTCTAAAGCTCGTCGCATTCAAATTTTGACTTGAGGGAGTTCAATATAGGAAACTATTCTAGGCTATTTACAATTATTCTGATTGCACGTAAAGGCAGTATTAATTAAACATTTTATTATTATTAATAATAATAATAATTAATACTTAAAAAAAGTATTTCCACTTTTAAAAGAAAACTTTAAAAAGAGATTTGAAAAGAACGAAACTCTTCCTGAATAAACTGACTTTTATTTAGTTGGGACTTGTATTTTGAAATGTATCTATGACAGTCAAAGAATGCGTGCATATGCAATCAGACTGGCCAGATACTCACTTGTATCCTTTTTGAAGCTATGTCAAGGTTAAGTATTACGTGTCGTGCTCTGTATCTTCTAAATTTGAGCTCTAGATGGAAATGCCACCAACAAACCTCCAGACTATCAACAATGAGCAGTGGACTTGAAGTGAGTTTAAAACAAACATTCCGGCATGCTACTACTAGCATGACTGTATTGCCAATGTCTCCTATTATATTGCATTATTTGTCGTGAATGTCTCTTATTCGTGTATTATACTCTGTTAGGACGTGACGTAACTGACTAGGACGTGTTTTTTTGTTTTGTTTTTTGGCATTTTGAAATATCAAACATGAAACCTGTAGTTCAGTACTTTCAGTCTAATTAGGCTAACTTACTTGATACTTCATTCATGCTGAAATTTTCTGAAAATCTCTGTTTTGTTTATGACCCATTTGATTTTAGTCAATATGTGGAGGTGGCAAATTTATGAGTGATTCTTCAGCAAAGACAGTCACAAGGACCAGTGTATGGGAAGGACGTACACAGGTAAGGGACTCAGTCCCTCTTTTAAAATCAACATTTCTAAATCAAGTATAAAAATGTATAAAGTTTTAAATTACCTTCTGTCATATCCATCTATTCTTTTCTGATAAAGTGGTTTGATGGCAGTCTGAAGAGAAGAGAACTTCATTCAAGTGCACCTCTTGGAGAAGAAAACGCACCTCAGTTGAGGTAAATATTGTTCTGAGTGAAAAGTGTAATCTTGTAATAATCACTGACTCATAGAGCACAATATTTGCAATCCTTTTACTTTGATTATGCATTACAGTTTTTCTCAGGCGCTTTGATACATTTCTCAGATCAGAATTGAATTTCTTAAAACTACCTGTTCAATCTTCACATAATTGTGTCACTTGTGCACGTCAAAAAAGCAGTTTCTCATTTCTTTGAACAAGTGTCAAATGCGTTGGTACATCAATGCAAATGATAAAGTACAATTCTCTGCTGTTTCCTACATTATCAATTGCTTATGTCATGTTGATCAAAATGTATTATTTTGGGTCTCTGTTGAATAGTCTCACCCCTCACAACATTAGTTCAGCATAAGTCTTTACATGCAAAATGGTTAAACAAGTTGTCATAATCAAGCATATTTCTATACATTTCCATTAGACTTTTTTTCTAAATCTGGCCTGTTCACATTTCTTTTTTTCTTTGTGCTATGCAGTGGTCTTTCCCTTTCTGTATTGCAATGACATGGTTTGTCAAATATTACAGTACAAACAGTAAAAACGTAAATGTGAATCTTGTCTACTCTTGCAATCAAACTCCCACATACACTAAGGCGTAACCTACTATTTACAATAATTTTCATCAAAACTTTAGCCATTATTTACATCAGAACATCCCTCCAGAGTACACTGTTAAATTGACTACCTGAATAAGCAATTTGACTTGTCTTATCCGTACACAAGGACACAAGGACATTCTGATGGCACTGACATGTTCATTGACAGATATTTACTTTTGAGAGATGAACTAAGGATTTTGAGCAAGAGAGACTGGCTTTTGCAGGAAATCCATGGTGTTTTGCTGTTTGTACGAATTGTTTTGAGAAATGCACTTACTGTTTTACAAATGTCGAGGATGATTCGAGAAATGTACCAAAGCGACTGAGAAAAACTGTAAGATACTGCTGGTATGATTTATCACTGTGTTGAAGTGAGTTTTTTTGTATGATTGTTGTCCATCAAAAATGTTTATATTAATTACATTTTTTATTCAAAAGCTATTTTATATTACAGTTGTATTTTAGTGTGTAAGATTGTAAAAAAAATAAATATATTTTTAGGCATAAGTCACCCTCCAATTCTCTGTCCACATAAAATTTGTTAATATTGAAATTCAAATAATACACAAGTCTTAATAGTTTAAATCAGCAGCAAAGTTCTTAAAATACTATTATACTACTACTATTTTCTATTTTTATTTAACTATTAATAAAAACTTTTTTTCCCATTGGTAACACTTTACAATAAGGTTTCATTTGTTAACATTAGTTAACTACATTAGTTAATATGAACTAATAGTGAAAAAAAAATACTTCTAATCTTTATCAATCTTGGTTAATGTTATTTACAACATTTACTTTTCAAGATTGAGATTTCAACTCAATCTTGGTTAATGTTAATTCCAACATTTAATAGTTCTATCTAATGTATTGCTCATTGTTAATATTAGGTATGCATTAAAGGGATAGTTCATCCAAAAATGACATTATTTGCTCACCCTCATGTTGTTCCAAATGTGTTTCTTTTATCTGTTGAACACAAAAGAAGATTTTCTGAAGAATGTTGGTATTGGTAATCAAACAGTTGCTGGTCTCCATTTACTTCCATAGTATTTTTTTTCCCCTACTATGGAAGTTAATGACTACTGTCAACTGTTTGATTACCAACATTCTTCAGAATATCTTTTGTGTTCAACAGAAGTCAGAAACTCATACAGGTTTGGATTCATCATACAACATATTCATTTTTAGACAAACAATCCCTTTAACTAACGTTAACTAATGGGACCTTATTATAAAGTGTTGCCTTCTCATATATTATTTATACATTAGCATCACATGCACATCACATACTATTTGTATTTTACAAAGTAATTGTTTTGTATAGAGAACTAACAGAGACTGACTATGAGAGACTAGCAGATGAGACAATGGACGCATTATCAGATTATTTTGAAGACCTCACAGATGAGGACTTCACTGGAATGGACTATGACGTTGTCTTTTCTGTAAGTACACATGCCCTTATTCTCACATCCTAACATGTTAAATCAATGCCTACAGTGCTATTACATCTCAATTTTTAGAAAAGTCTGTTTTGCCTAGATTTCCAGTAGGGGTCAATGTTGGTTTAAAATGATTTGAAACAATAAATGCTGTTTTCAATGGATTGCATCTGATTCTTGATTGAATTGTATCTTCAGTGAGAAAATAACAGGAGAGACAAATGAATTGATTTTAAATTAACCATTAGCAAAAAATAAAAACATATACAGACACAATTTAGACCATTGCCTTTACCAAAAAAAAAAAAAAATTGCAAGATAAAAAATAATTCAAGAACTATTAATTTAATTAAAATTAATTGAGTTGGTGTTTCCAGTCTTTACTTGTCATGTGACCCATTTGTCTAACCTTTACATCCCCATCCTTTTTGTGAAACATTGCAATTAAGTTGTTGCTCTGTACGGTGAAATGGTGTCCTAAAACTTTTATGATTGAATCTTTTCTTCTTTTATAGAAAAGAGGTTTGCTTGAGTGTTATTGTTGTTGAGTGCTCCCACACAACTCCTGTTAAGAGTTCACAGCCAAAAAGCTGCTTTTTGTGCTGCAGCCTTTGTTGGAGCACTTTGCAGTGAAAAATGCATATTTCCTGCAGGATTTATGAAGGCTACAAACACTGAGCTTTTAGTATGTTATTGTAAGAGACTAATGTAACTTCCAATCATTCTACACACAAGCACACATACACACACACATATATATATATATATATATATATAATTTATTTGATTTTTTTTATTTATTTTTTTATTTTTTTTACAAAGATCTTTCTTGAACCCAGTGAATGATTAAGTCCTTGCACTCGTTCCATTTAAGCATCTGGCGGGTGGCCAGCAGGCCCTGCTGACAGATTGATTGGTCATTCACGCTCCTAGCTCTCCTCTGGCTGGATAAATGTCAGGCGGTGAGCTTCCTGTCAGCTACTTGTTCTAAGCAGCTTGTTTTTACACCTCCATGCAGCCGGCAAACACTGTGCTGGTGTTTTCAACAGTGCAGCTGTCTCCTGAAATTTGATTCAGAAAATTCTCTTTTTGCTCACTGACTCCGTTGCTACAATTGATATAATATAATGATACCACAACCCTTTACATCAAACATTCGGACAGCTGCAAGCCAAGGTTTTGTTGGAAAAAAATTAGGCATGTTCCCAATGCTTGGCCTCGGATCTGACTGTACATTCACACATATAGATCATCTTTTCAGAGGTTGTTTCATTTACATGTTCTTGTTTTAGGCATCGGTTTTATGGTACAAATAGTTTGTGGTTTAATTGATCAGTTTTTTTGTTGTTGTTTTTTTTTTAGGTTTGCGTATTTTTCTTTTCTTGTTTATTTAGGATAATTTGTGGGGGGGAAAATAGTACACCTTGTGCATTTGTTGATTTATTTATCTCTGTTTTATTTATCTATTTTAAATGTTGGCATATTATATTATATTATTTTTTTCCTGTATCTTTATTATCCTTCTGGTATAGTACCCTTGCTAATATATATATATATATATATATATTTATATATATATATATATATATCCTTATTATTGATTTATTTTATATATATATATATATATATTATGTACTATTATTATTATTGTATATATTTCTTTTCTTTTTTACTGGGGTAATGACTGATTGTCTTCGTAATTTTGTATGTTTAAACAATAAAAATTTGATAACAAAAAAAATGTTGGCATATTGATACTATATGAAAGTATAATGGATGAAAGTGATTTATAATTAATTAAAAACATTTTATTTAAAAAAATGTCTACTACAGACATGAGAAACAAATAAGTGCACCCCTGCCTTGCCTTGCCTATTTTGCAATTATGATAAGTTAAATATTTGTAAAAAAAAAAAAAATCTCTTTCAGGTTGTTCTCCCTGTCAAAGCTTCTTGTTTCAATGTTAAAGCCACAGACTGAAGATCTCATACATTTACATGTGTGTTAACAGAGTGGTGTGCTGACAGTGAAAATTGGCTCTGACCACGGCACATACGTTATCAACAAACAGACACCCAACAGACAGATTTGGCTTTCATCGCCGACCAGGTTAGATAGTCATTTGTTGATGTTCGTATGTAATGCTTAACTGTGTTTAATCTGTCTTATGTAAAAGAATGAGAATTAAATCAGCAAATTTCTTGATGACATGTTTCACTTTGTATTACTTAGTGTCTGTATTTTTTATTCTTTAGTTCTTGAATTACATATTAACAGTGTGATATAATGTGCACAGATATGTTCAGTTTTCAGCTTCATCAGACATTTCTGCATGTTTCCTTTCTTAGTGGTCCTAAGCGCTACGATTGGACGGGGGAGCGATGGGTGTACGCTCACGATGGTGTGACATTGCACAGTCTGCTCTCCAAAGAGTTGTCTGTCATCTTCAAATCAAATATAGACCTGTCGCATCTCATCCATTCATGATGAGAACAATTTGAAAAACAGACACTGTTATTGATCTTTTCCTCGCCAGTTCTCTTGTGACCTTCGTGATCTTAATAAGATCTTAACTACTATTGCCAATGCTCAAAAAACCTATAGGCTGGCTTGATATTTTTTAAACTGCAGGGAGTATTTATTTGTCTGCATCATCAAACCTATATACAATTGTAAGTTTTAAATGCACTCAGAACAGCAGAAAGTGCTCTCATAATCAAATCCCTGTAAATGAACCTGGTTGGATTAAAGAGATCACGTCTATTGGCTCTTAAACCACATGAATAAGACAAATGGACACGGATTGTTTTTTCGGAGGCTGTAGTTATCTGCCGCATTCTGCACGCCTGGCCCTGGTTGAACTAGAGGCTGCTGGGTAGATGCAGGAAAAGATGAGGATTACGACTGACAGATGGAGAAGTTCTTGCTCTAAAAGCCCTCGGCCAGAGCCTTTATTCAAGAATTATCTGTGAATAACGGCATCGCTCTCCGATCATATCCCTCAGAGCTTTACCACCACCCTCGGATGATTTAAAAATACCAGCCCAAATTAGCATCAACCCACCCGACAGTTAAAGCAGTGTCATTAACTTTGGTGATATAACACAGTCGATCATTACTCCAGACGCCTCTTAACATAATAGCCCATATATCGCAACATTAACTTGATACGCTGGTCCATGCTAATGTTGAAATGTGAGATGTATTGTACTGAGGTGAAATGTCTGTATTTAATCAGGTTGTATGTGATGAAACAATAGCACATCTCCTGCACGGTTGATGTCTCTGTCTGTTGATGCATATGTAATATAATGTTAAATAAATTAGAATGTTATTATTTTTATTGTATACTTTATTTTTATTATAGTATTATTATTATTATTCATGATTTTGAATTATTATTATAAATGAATGTTAAAATTAATATGCGGTTGCTTTTTTATTAACTAATTAATGAAATGTTCAAAGACAATGTTCTATAGGGCACTATCTTCAGAACAATATCGTCGGTTTTCAGTTATTTCATTTTTAACATTGTATTATTATTTAAAATATTATTTCATCATTATAATATAATTAAAATATTATTATCAAAATAAAATAATACTTTATCATTTTGAGTGATTAGGATTTATTAATATATGTAAAAATAATACTTGGGTGGTTTTTTTTATTATTTATTTTTGAGACAATATATTTAGACCGGTTTTAAATTTCTGTATAGCATTAAAATATTATAATTATTACTTGAAGTAAATATTAAAGGGTAACTAAACCCTAAAACAACTTTTTTTATTTAAAGGGGTGGATGAGTATGATTTCATTGGGTATTTTTAGCTAAAACTACACATACACACTCTGGGAACATCAGAGATTTATTTTACATCTTGTGAAAAGGGCATTATACCACCCCTTTAATGATCTGTAATACTGGGTCTTTATTAATACTGCACATTGTTTCGAGTAATTTTGATATTTGGGTTTAAATTGTTTAAATTCAACAATATATGGTGTAAAAACGTCTGAGTCCTGCCCTCTTCAGTTTCAACGGTGGCTACTGCTGTTGAATTTTCCTATAGACCATTTCACAAGATGTAAACAACACTGGTCCAGAAACACTTCCTGTTTCAGTTTGTAGCTGTTTTCGTTATTTCACATGCAAAGAAAACATCTTAAAGATGTTTAACTTTTTGATTCAGTTTTAAATGTTCTGTTGGTTGTATTTTATCCAAGCTTTTATGTCGTGTTAAAAAAACTGAAACAGGAAGTGCTTCTGGACCAGTGTTGTTTACATCTTGTGAAATGGTGTGGTACTCTGTGATGTCAGAGAGTACCAGCTAACCACGCCCCCCCTCCACTGGGCTCTGCCCACTCTTCCAGCATTTTTCAAATATTGCCAGTGGGTGGAGTCAGGCTCTGACCAGGGGTTTAGTTACCCTTTTGTTGTGCAAGACAATTTTTTGTCTTGATGTTTTTTTTTAAGTGATTAATACATCTTAGAAAAACAATATTATATTATAAATATTTTTTATTTATGTGTGCAAGACAATATTTTAGATTCAGTCATAATATTAATTTCGGTTGGTGAGTCGGCCTTGATATCTGCAACTGATTTCAGTGTTAGCTACTCTTTGATATGAAGATATGAGACCAATTACTTTGAGATAAGCCTCATATAAATTGCACCAGCTGCTTTTTAATCTTTGTGAAAGCTGTAACACTACCTGTCTTTGAGCTAAAGTGTCCTTTAAGATGCCAGATTATTCCCAGTATTAATGGCACCTAATTATGATACGAGCAGCTATTGAATCAGAGCTCACGGCTGATGATAAACACTTTGAGCATCTTTTCTCTCTTTGTCCAGACATGAATATGCAAATGTCTATTATAGAGCTCGACTCACAGGCCCAAAAATAGCATGAAGTTTCCATGGGAACATGGATTTATCACTGAACTCTGATGTCAATTGAGTGGTTTTGCTCCAAACAAGCGAAGGAAGTCTGAAAGATTCCCCGAGCTCACGCACGTTTTACTGTCATTTCAGCCTCGTTTCAGCTGGACATCAAACATCACCCTCAGCAGAGCGTTTCTCAGAAAGACGTCATCTAATGTAAACATTCTGGACTAACATGAAAGCATGGGGCTAAAAATACAATGTGACCTGGAAATGTTAACCTCTGTCAAGCAACCCCTAAATGCTTATCTGATGATACAATCATGATTTGTTTTTTTTTTGTTTTGTTTTTTGCATTTGCTAATTGAGGATTTGTTTTTCTAAAGAAGAAGAAAAAGGAACTATTCTTCAATTCAGGTGAGTCTTTTTCTTGCTATTTTACTCAGTCAACATCAATGCCATGAATCAGACAAAAGGCCTGATGCACTTCAGATGACTCGACTGCACTGCGTAGAGATCATGTGGGATGCTTGGAATTAATTCCACATCAAAAGAAACTGGTTAATTAGAATTTGTTGGATGTTAATAAGCACAGAATCTCTACATGTCATTCCTTTGTTGTTGTAACCCATGGTTTTGCATAGTTATCAAAAGGGATTTTTATAATATTCATGGCAATTTTAGTCTGCTTTGTAAAAGCCTGTTCTCAAAATTACTTTATTTTTATTGTACTTTATTCTTGTTATTGCACGGTTATATATCAAAATTGCAAATGTTATTTCTCACAATTGTGACTTCATATCATGATATCACATTTTACGATATAATCAATTATGACAGTAAAAATGATAAGAAATTATGCATTAGCTCCTGTCCACTTTCTCAGCGGCAATGGTTCCGTAATTTTTTATTAATACGGAACCAAGTATTTTTTTCATTCATTTTCTTGTAAAAGAGTTACTGTATTAGCTATGAACTAAGTCAATCAGCTACGGGTCTACAAGATGAGTTACAACACACAAACTTTGATTTGAACCAAAAAAGCATTTGAAAATCGGACTAAAGAACTCTTTTGGTGCGTTTTACTCTTTCGTTACGATTTTCTGTTCGATATTCCACCAATTCCGCTGTTAAACACACTGAAAAAAATGATTTTTGCTGCTTGTTCAAATCGCTTAATTAAAATTAGCTTAAGCAACATAATTGCTTTACATTTTGTCCAAACTTAATTTGATTGTGTCCAATCTGCTTAAATATATGTACAATTTAAGTTTACTTAATCCGTTTGTGTTGGATAACATGAATGATTTGTGTTGCATTAACTGAAATTGGGCGGTGCATGTTAATTCCCAGCATGCTTTGCATATGTCTGAATTATGAGAGAATAAATGTTGAAATGAAGTGTTATTTTATATGTTTTTGAGAAAATAAGAAAAGGTTAGTGTGTAATTGTGTTTAATGTTCAATTACATTGGAATTATTAGAACCATTTGAATTACAGTTGGTTACCATTGCGGAGAAGAGTGGATGATTGGGTTAGGCTGTGGACCGATTCAACTATGTGTATAGCAACTGCTTTTTGCTGATGGTGTATGTATACCTTAGCATTCAGTATGCTACCAAGTACTATTGGTAGCTAACTGCAGGCTATAGACTAGATTTTGAGATGAGTGACAAACACATTCAATCTTAATTGGATAAATTAATATATGAATTTGAATACCTGAAACAGCCAATCAGGGAGCCTTTTAAAATCACTTTGAGACTACTTAATTGGATAACTTAAAATGACTTAATTCCATGACATTGAAGATACATTAATAAATTATGTTTGTGTAACTTAATTGGTTCATGTGGGACCGATGTACACTATCAAATCATGTAAATCCAACAGACTTTTTTTTTCAGTGCAGAATTAATTTCAGTTTTACCATCGATTAACAACATCGTGGTTCACAGTATGCTGTCTTTTTTAAGTTTTTAGTTTCGTTAAAATGAATTTCGATCAAATGAGAGAAAAGAATTAGCATACATAAAGACATTTACATTATTCTAAAATCTGTCAAAATATCCATTTCAATTAGTCAGCCACCATTGTTTTAAAAAATAAATTAAAAAGTAAATTTAATAAATTAATAATTTAAATAAATTAAAAATTAAACGTTTGGGTTATTGATCATTTAAACTCATTTGTTCACATTATATATTTATGCTTAATGTCTGTTTAGTTTATAAAGTTTCCCAAACGACAAATGGTAAGCTAACTATTTTATGTTAGCATACAGATGGTAGGCAATGCTAATTGTTTTTTTGTTTTGTTTTTTTTAAAAACATTTTTAAAACCACCATTTTTTTTTTAAATAAATTAAAAAGTTTAATTAAATTAAACAAATGGTATGGTAACTGTTTTTTTTATACATTTTTCAAACCACATTTTAAAAAAAATAATTAAAAAGTTAAATTAAATAAATTAATACATTAAAATAAATTAAAAATTAAACGTTTGGGTTTTTAAAAACTATACACCATATATTTATGTTTAATGTCTGTTTTTAATTTATAAAGTCTCCTAAATGACAAATAGGCTAACTGTTTCATGAGGACTGGAGGAATTTAATCTTTTGAGTGTGACAGCAGAGTCTAGTGTTGTCACAGACCTGAAGAAAATTGAGATAAATTGCTGCATTCACCGGAAATTGGAGAGATTAATTTCTCATCTTTGACAGACTCTGGAGCACTCGTATCTACAAAGCAGGGCAGACAGTTTTTGCTTCTATTGTGAATACTCCTTGAGATAGCATCTGAAGGATAATCTGAGAAGGACCTTATCTTTCTATTTAAAGCGGCTCTCAGTACTTTAACTGTCTGTCTACTCTAGATCACATTCAATATATTATTAGCAAACAAGGTGCAATAAGACCCTAATATGAGACACTGACACTGTTTTTGACCAGACCAAAACAGTGCTTTCTTTAGCATTCAGCTTAACAGTATTGTCATAATTACTGCAACACTATAGCAAGAGCAAGAACGAATGTAGAAAGATAGATACCTGAGAGACATTACAAATGAATATTACTGAGGAAAGAAGGGTTACAATGATGTTCTGTAACTGATCACGATTTCCTGTTTTTCATCATTTTAATTAACTTCTGAATTTCACTAGTTAATTTCAATGTTTCTGTGGCATGAGCTACTTATACACTTGTTGTCACTATAGCTATTTTTGTTTACTCACCAAAACACTCACATTACTCACATTTGGCCTTTGGCAATTGTTAATTTTGGACCTGATCATCAGACAGTATGGAAGTGTGAGCATGGAACTCGTTATCGGAGGTAAAATATTTCCAGTTTTTAACTTGCAAGTCTGAAAATGTTCTATTCCCTGTTGGGGTCCTAATTATCATAATTTTCAAGGATCCCAAGAGATTGGTCAAGTCATGTTA